ACCAAGCTCTGCTGCCGCCCGCCGCCCTCCGCATCTGGCCTGGCAGCGCCCGGCTTCATGTGCGTGGATGTGGGCCTGAGCAAGCCCACTGAACCTGCCGTACCCTCACCTTCCCCGGGCCCTGCCCGCCATTGGGGCCGCCTGGCCCGCTGCTGGGCGCGCTGCGGGGACTGGAGGCGCGTGGCGCTCATCACAGCGCTGCTGCTTGTGCTCTTCTGTGTGGTGCTCTGGCCCGTGAGATGCGCTCTCAAGACAGGGAACCTTCGCTGCCTCCCCCGGCCCCAGGCTGCCACCACCGCCACTGCTGCCGCCACCACCTTCTCGCTTGGGTCCCTGGCTGACAACTAGGGTCATCACCGCCACCCCAGTTCCAGGTGTGGCTGCCCAGCCCACAGCTGGGGTCATGGGATGTAGCAGCTGTCTGGGGTCCAGCCCTGGGATCCCAGAGGAGCCCCAGTATCTCTGAGGCACCCACACCCCCATTTGGCTCACCTGCCCCTGACTCTCTGGGGCCCGGTCCTATGGGGTGGACAAAAAGTTCCCCTGAGCTTCCAAGAATCAGAGATTCCTATGGACCCCAGAGGCCACCCCCATAACTCCCATTATGCAGGTGGGGACACTGAGGCCCAGGAGCAGCAGCTTGGTGGGGACCCTCCCTATACACTGAATCGTCTGCAGGCACAGCCCCTTTGCTGAAAAGGGAGAGGACTTGCCATCCTTATTTCATATGCACATTTCACCCATGGCTCCCTCCCCAGAGTCCTTCCCCAGGCAGGGCTGGCCCCTTCCTTGGGTGACCAGGGGGACAGAGGGAAGTGGCAGGGAGCCCAGTCCCTCAGTGCTCATCCCACCTGGTGAACTGTACATTTTTAAATAAATTATTTTGTACCCGCAGTTGGTAAGAGGTCTTCAGGCTGTGTGTCCTCCTTCCTGTACCACTAAACCCTTTCCTCCAGAAAAGCTCACAGTCTTCCCCTGCTGCAAAGACCCTCAGTACAGAGGATACCTGCACTGGCCTGGACTCCTAGCAGCCCCTAAGTGGCTGGCCTCAGGTTCTAGGGGGTCCAACTCCTGTCCTCTCTGGGCTGTGGACGGGCTGGAGCACGTCTGGACTTGGCTGGCCCCCAGGGCTGGGAGGCTCCCCCAGGGAAATAGGGAGGGTCCAGAGCACCTGGGGCAGGTAGGACTGGTGTAGGGCCTTGGCCTCGTCCAGAGTCCTCCTCCCCATCCCCCACTGTGGTCACACCAGGCTGCACTCCCCAGAAGTCATCCCAGAGGTTGCTAAAACCAGCGTGTCCTGGATCCACAGACCTCAGGGCCCTCTGGCAGACCCTCCCTGGGCCAGGCCTGGCTGGTGAAGCAGCAGTGTCTCAAGGGATGGGCGGGAGTCCTGCCAACCCCCACCCCCAACCCCACCCGGTTCTGCTATTGGCCTCAGGAATCCTGCACCACCAGGTTGGCATGGTGAAGAGAGGCCAGGCCGGTCTGGCTCGCGCAGGTCTTAGCCTCCTCATCCTTCACCCCAAAACCCAGGACTTCCTGCTACACCCAGCTGGGCCTCTGGCTGGGGAGGGGAGAGGGCACAGGCACACCCTGGGGAAGCTGGGCCGAGCTGTGGGGACTCACATGTACCCTTGCCCCAGGCCCCCACAAGGACACAGAACTGAGAACAAGGCATTTTACTGAGGCTACCACAAAGACACAGGGCCATCCGTGTCGGGGGTGGGACCACAGGCCACATGCCAGTGACATCACAGCATCACACACCAGTCATGCACACAGGGAGCTTTGCCCTCATCACACGGGCGTCACATGAGCAGGTCATATACTCCTTCATTCAACAAGCATTTATCCACGCGTGACCTCAGCGTGATGGTCTGGGCTACATCTGGTCAAGTCAGGAATTGAGCCACTGCCTGGGCCACACCCCAGACCACCGCTCTGGACAGGGCTGAGAAGCAGCTCCGAAGGGATGGGTGAGGGGGGTGCCCTGGATGCAGGGGAGCTGGGCACAAACGCTGGTGACACAGTCAGGTCCAGGACACATTGGTACTCACTTGCCGGCCACTCAGGTCCCACATACAGGCCGGCACTCAAACACTTGGCACACACAAGGTCACACGTGCTCAGCGAGCGGTGCAGGTTGTCACTGGTGGCCTCCCACGCGGAGACAAACCGCAGCCCTGCCGCCCCTCCTCCACCTTCCCCTGGGAGCCCCAGGAGAGGCGGTGACACCGGATCAATCGACCGCCCTTCCCATCTCTGGGCGTGCAGGCCTGGTCAGGGAGGGTCTGAGCGGCAGACCCGGGACCCCTTCCCCCGCGCTCCGGGATGAGCTCCAGTCTGCACTGTCCTAAACACAGTCCTTTCGAGGAATGAGGGGGCCGGCCTGGCTGGGCGCTGCCTCCTCGCGGTTCCAACCTCACTCGGGGCGTGCGCACGCGGGGCCCTCATCTCCCGAGGCCCTGCAGGCTCTCACACACGCGGCCAGAGGCCTCTGGAGTCC